CTCTCCCCCCCCCACAGTCATATTTTGGGAGTCCTGGAGTGGCGCTGTGGGTTAATGCTCCAGACTGCAAAGCCGTTTAAACCGCAAGGTTGGCAGTTCAAGCTCACCAGCTCCTCCTTGAAAACCCTATACAGGGTCGCTATGGGTCGGAATCGACTAGACGGCACTTCACAACAACAGTCATATTTTGAGCGCCTTCCAACCCAAGGGGCTCACCTTCTGGCACTAGATCTGACAGCATTTGGCTGCTTTTCATAAGGTTTTCAGTGGCTAACCATTGAGAAGAGGTACATCTCTGCTTCTTCCTAGTCTGTCTTATTCTGGAAGCTTCCTAGTCTGGTGACCCTGCTGGTATGTAAAATACTGGTGGCATAGCTTCCAGCATCCCAGCCACACACAAGGTACCAGAGTATGATAAATTGACAGAGGAGTTTTTGTTTAAGGTGAGGAAATAATTTTGGAAATGAGTAGCGGTGATGGTTGCCCTGGAAACAGTTCTGACTCATAGCAACCCTGTGAACAAGAGAATGAAGCACTGCCAGATCCTGGGTCATCCTCACAATTGTTACTATGTTTGAGCTCATTGCTGCTGCCACTGTCAGTCCATCTCGTTGGGGGTCTTCCTCTTTTTCACTGACCCTCCACTTTACCATGCATGATGTCCTTCTCTAGCGACTGGTCCCTCCTGATAACATGCCCAAAGTATGACTTAGGAGTATTCTGGCTGTACTTTCAAGACAGATTTATTTGTTCTTCTGGCAGTCCATAGCTCTTTAAATACTTTTCTCCAACACCACAACTCAAATGCATCAATTCTTCTACAGTCTTCTTTATTCATTCATTGTCCAACTTCCACATCCATATGAGGTGATTGAAAATACCATGGCTTTGGGTCAGGCACACCTTAGTCCTCAAACTGCTATCTTTGCTCTTTAACATTTTTTTTTTAAATGTTTTATTGTGAATTATGTGATAGTTTACATGGGAGAACATCAGTTTTACATTCATTCTATCGTATATTGTCTCTCATTGCCATGGTTACAATCCCCTCCATACAATCCTTCCCCCCGTACCCCCCAGGTCTTCGGCACACAGTCGCTCTCCCTCTCTGGATCTAAAGTCTCCAGCTGCTCCATCGCTCCACGTCATCATCTCTGGCTCCATTTCATAGAAGTCCAATGCGCTATCCAATGCGCCACAGAGCCACCTGCTCTTTAACATTTTAAAGAGTTTTTTTTGCAGCAGATTTGCCTAATGCAATAATATGTTGCTTGATTTCTGACTGCTGCCTTCATGAGCCTTGATTGTGGAGTCAAGCAAAATGAAGTCTTTGATCACTTCAAGCTTTTCTCCATTTATCTTGATGTTATTTATTGGTTCAGTGGTGAGGGTTTTGGTTTTCTTTACACTGAGGTGCAATGCATACCAAAGACTGTAGTCTTTGATCACCATCAGTAAGAAGTTTAAGTCTGCTTTGCTTCCAGCCAGCAAGGGGTGTATCATCTGTATACTGAAGGCTGTCAATGAGTCTTCTGCCAATTTCTCTTCAGGTAATTCAGCTTCTTGGATTATTTTCTCAACACACAGATTGAATGAGTATGAAAGAATACAGCCCTGATGGACACTTTTCCTGCTTTTAAGTCATTCAGTATCTCTTTGTTCTGTTCGAACGACTGCCTGTTGGTCTGTGTTCAGGAACCTTATGAGCACAATCAAGTGTTCTGGAATCCTCATTCTTCACAGGATTGTGTATAAAACAGTATTCGCCTCTCTTCCCTGTAACTCTTACCGTCCTCCCTGTGTCTTCCCTTACCTTCATCATTTTTCTGTCAACCACACTCTTATTATATATTGCTTTCCCCAATTACCCAAATCAACACGTACCTACCTTTGAACCAGTGACTTTCCCTTCCTTTCCCTCCCACCTCTGGTAACTATCAAGGAATGTTTCTTGACTTTTTATGACAATGGTCTCCTATAATATTTGTCCTTTGGTGATTGGCTAATTTTACTCTGCATAATGTCCTCCAGGTTCATCCATGTTATGAGGGGCTTCGCAGACTCATTATTATCCTTTATTTTGAGTCGTCTTCCATTGTGTGTATGGACCAGTTTGCTGATCCATTCTTCCACTGATGGGCCTCTAGGTTGTCGTCATCTCTTTACTATAGTGAAAGGCGCAACAATGAACACGGGTGTACATCTGTTTGTGTCATGGCTCTTGTTACTCGAGGATATATACCAAGAAGAGGTATTTTTGGGTCATGCGGTATTTCTGTTCCCAGCTTTTTGAGGAAGTGCTTTACCATTCTCCACAGATCACCACCGACCTTCATGGAAGCAGATCATTAGACCTTTCATCCGCAGGGCCTGCTGAGTAGTGAGAACTGTCAACATTTCAATTAGCACTCAAGTGGGCACCATCTGTGCCACCTTGGACCCTAACTACACCAGGAGTCTCTTGCTAAAAACAGTCCTGAATTTGCTTGGAGTCCCACATCTGGCAATCTCGGTGGCTCCTTTGTAAATGTCAGCCTGATTTACATTGAGTACATTTATAGACAAGGATTTATAGACGAGGTGTGGAAAGGAGGAGAATGTTCTAAAAGCGAAGGGACAGATAGGAGGGGGATTGTGTTCCCCAAAAGATATGTTGACGTTTTAAGGCCTATACCTGAGAATGTGACCTTGTTTGGGGAAATTGGATCTTTTTTTGGAGAACTTATCAGTAAAGTTAATGAAGTAAGACCAGAATACGGTGGACCTGTGTCCTAACAAATTCTTTCTGAGTGACATTTTATAAACAAGAAGACCAAAATGTTCATTCACAGATGAGTGTATAAACACAGTGCGGTCTACACACCAGAGAATACCACTCAGCCATGAAGAGAACTGAAGACCTGATTCATGCCACCACGTACATGTGCTGAGCGGAATCAGCCAGCCACAAAAGGACAAGCATTGTATGATCCCACTTCTCTGAAATAAGTAAACAAAGAAACCGGAGATGATTAATGGAGACAAGGGATGGCAGGAGACAAAAGGGGGAGCCTTTGTTTTGGGGGTAATACGTTTATGTTAACGGAGAAGGAGAGTTAGAACGTCTACACAACTTGAAGGATGTGGTCAATATCTTTGCATTCTAAATGTAGACGTGATGGTACTAGGGGATGTTGTGGTGGGGATATCAATACATTCACCACAATACAAAATTTGAAAAACAAGAAGTGTTAAACACAGAGGGAAGACAGCTGTAAGGATCTTTTTACAAGCTCGCAAAAGCTACAGAAACTGAAAGAGACAATGAAGCATCCTTCCCTAGAGCCCTCAGAGAGAGCATGACCCTGCCCACACCTTGGATGCACACAGTGAGTCTTTAGCACTGAGAGATGATACATTTTTGTTCTCTAAAGCGCCATCATGTGGTAGTATTTGTTATAATGGCCCTGGAAGACTGAGATACCATCTTTCCACCAAAACATTTGGAGATGATGACTGCAAATTCCCGCTGAACGTCCACCAGAACCACTCCAGGTACTGGGCAGATGTGAGATCCTTGGCTATTCTGAGAACAGACACCTTGCACTATAAAAAACGGCAGGTATGTGCACACGAAACTTCTTATTGTTGGGTGTTGTCGGGTATATTGACATGTGATGACCCCAAATGACAGTACAACTGCTGCATTGGGTCGTCTAGGCTGTCATCTTTATGGGAGAGCAACAGGTCTTTCTCCTGCAGAGATGCTGGGTAGGTTCAAACCTCCAACCTTTCTGTTAGGACTTAACTGTTGAGCCACCCAAGGCTCCTTGCATTATTTAGAGCACAGCCAACATGATGTACATTTGGAAGAAGGGTAAAGACTTCACACATGGTATCCCTCCAGCCATTGAACGCAAACCAACAGGAGGCTCATAACTTCTCACAATAACTGTTTCCTTTTGAATGGGACTGAGCTCTATAAAGCAGCTTTCTACACTGGACTCACTGAGGGCCGTGGTGGCTGAGTGGTAGAATTCTTACCTTCCATGTGGGAGACCTTGGTTCAATTCCCGGCCAATGCACCTCATGGGCAGCCACCACCCATCTGGTAGTGGAGGCTATGAAGTTGAACAGCTTTCAGCAGGGTGGTCAGATTAAGATAGACAAGGAAAATCAACCAATGAGAACCCTCCAGATCACAGTGGTTCGATGTATAGCTGATCAAAGGGATGGCATAGGACCAGGGAGAGAGGTTCATTCTGTCATGCAATGGCACCATGGGCTGAGGGCTGACTCAGATGGCGGCATTCCTACGATCAATTGTGGATGGGACCTCTGTGATTCACAGGGTTTTCATTGGCTGATTTTCAGAAGTAGATTATCAGACCATTCTTCCTACTCTGCCTGAGTCTAGAAGCTCTACTGAAACCCACTCAGTATCCTGTGTGTGTGTGTGTGTGTGTGTGTGTTGTGTGCTGTCGAGTTGGTTCCCACTTACAGTGACCTTGTTAGCAACCTTGTAGAGGTTTTTTAAGGCTATAACTCTTTAGGGGAGCAGAAAACCTCATCTTTCTCCTGCAGATCAGCTGGTGGATTCGAACTGGTGACCTTGCAGTTAGCAGCCCAATGTGTAACCCACTCTGCTCCCAGGTCTCCTTGTTCAGCATCCTAGCAACACACAAGTCTCCCCTGATGGACAGGTGGTAGCCGGACATCGAATCCAGGTCTCCTGTATGAAAGTTGAGAATTCTACCACTGGGTCATGCCTGCTCGCAGAAAACGTTTAGAATTTTCAAATGCTTAGACTTCTTAAAATAGCATGCAGGTGGAGACTTTCTGTAGTGTTGGGGATGGAAACACATCTTTGAAATGTAGCAAATATTCACAGAGCTTGCACTTTGTACCCAGCCCATGTTAATCCTCAGCAAGACTACAGAGGGGACAAATTCACATGGCCTTCACGTGTTGTGGGGGACGAGACTGTGAACAGTGAGCAGGTGAACACCTGGCTGCCATACCTGGGGAAGTCTTCATCCTGCCATTCCTCCTTCACATCCACATTTTCCATCCGGAGTGTGGCTTCTGTGGTCCCCATAGCAGCGGGGTGGGGAAGAGGTGATCCTTGAAGCAGACAAATTCTAAAGAAGAGTCACAAACAGGGGGCCAGATTTTACTGGCTGGTAATCATCCACAACCCTTTCACTTGGTTCCACAATCAACACTCATGGAAGCAGCAGTCAAGAAATCAAATGACGTATTACAAATCTACTGCACAAGACCTCTTTAAAGCATCCAAGAGCAAAGATAGCAGTCTGAGGACTAAGGTGCACCTGGCCCAAACCATGGTATTTTTAGTAGCCTCATATGCATATGAAAGTTGAACAATGAATAAGTAAGACGGTAGAAGAACTGATGCCTTTGAGTTATGGTGTGGGAGGAGAATATTAAAAGTGCTATGGACTGCCAGAATATTAAAAGTACCAGGGAAGAAGTACAGCCAGAATGCTCCTTAGAGGCCAGTAGAGCGAGACTTCGTGTCTCATACTCCAGGCATATTATCAGGAGGGGCCAGTCCCTGGAGAATGACATCATCTTTGGAAAAGTGGAGGGTCGTTGCAAAAAGATGGATTGGCACAGTGGCAGCAGCAATGGGCTCAAACATAGCAAGTTTGTGAGGTTGGCCCAGGACCGGACAGTGTTTCCTTCTGTTGTGCATAGGGTCACTATGAATCCGAAGTGACTTGACAGCACCTCACAACAACAACAACAACAACAATCCTCACAATTCTCCCCCTGTGTGTCGTTCTTAAGAGAGCAGTCTACACAAAGATTTTATAACCAAAAGGGGGAGAATCCTGGAACAGAATTTCAAATTCTCATGGACTCTCGATTTTCTGGAGCCATGGAGGTTGGATGAACCCCTGAAAGAATCTTTAAATGTTCATCCTAAACCCCAACATCATCCAGTGCTGCAGAGCTGATTCTAACCCCCCATGGACAGCATACTGGTGGTGCTATAGGGTCAGCACTGGACTGCTAACTGCAAGGTTGGTAGTTCAAATCCGGCAGCCGTTTCTTGGAAACCGTATACAGGGTAAAACTATGAGTTAGACCTGACTGAACAACAACAGAATAGATTCAAGCCGCTCCATGGGGTTCCCAATGGGAGTAACTCAGACAATTAGACGGGAAGTTTAGGGGTCAGTAAGAGTTTGTTCCTGAAAGAGGGATAATTTGGAGAAGGCTAAGAAGGATGGCACAGTATCAACATCACTGAATGGGATGTGGAGAAACTGTGGAATGTTCTGTTGTGCATATTCTCATCCAAGACAACACAAATCAAATCTATTACTGAAAAAAGAAACAGGTACTATAAAAGCCAAAAAAGAAAACTAAAAAAAACCAAACTCAACTGCCATCGAGTCGATTCTGACTTATTGTGAGCCTTTATAGGGTTTCTGGGACTCCTGATGAGGCGCTGTATGATCAGCACTGGACTGGGAATCACAAGGTCGGCGGTTCAAACCCACCAGCTGCTCCTTGGAAACCCTATACAGGGTCGCTGTGAGTCAGAACTGACTGGAAAGCACTTAACAACAACAACGAGAGGGATTCCGAGGCTGTAAGTCTTCACCGAAGCAGAAAGCCTCCTCTTTCTCCCTCGGAGCAGCTGGTTTGAAGCAGGTGGTGAGTTTGAATAGCAGACTTTGCGGTTAGCAGTCCAGTGCTTATCCTACAGCACCACACCGGGACTCCAATATAAGAGCATATACTTAGAGAGAGAGAGAGAAAGAGAGAGATTGCTCAATCTACAAAGAGGTCTCATGCTCACTGTCTTACTGACTCGTACATGTCCATTTCACAGATGAGGAAATTGAGGCTCAGCTGAAGACAGCCAGTTGCTCCTTGAGTTTGGAGTTTAAACTCAGGTATGGCCTCCTTTGGCAGCTCTGAAATCTACCCTTCCCTCCCCCAGGAAGTGGCCAGGATTCAGATTCACCCTGCCCCTCTTACCTTGGACTTCAACTAGGAAGCAAGAAATCCAATTAAGCCACTTATATGGAGCTCTGGTAGCGTAGTGGTAACGAATCAGGCTGCAAACCGCAAGGTCAACAGTTCGAGACTACCAGCTGTTCCACGGGAGAACAATGAGGCGTTCTGCTCCTGTAAAGATTTACAGCCTCGGAAACCCTGTACATGGTCGCTATGAGTCGGAACCGACTCCACAGCACACAACAACAACAACAACGGAAGTACTAATGAAAGGTACATAGGGACTCCTTGAGCACTTGCTCTTGATAAGTGCCGTGACTCTGTACAGTGTTTCTCAGGAGCAGTTGGTGGGTTTGAACTGCCAACCTTGTGGTTCACAGTCAAGTGCTGATCCTACAGCGCCACACCAAGGCTCTTTGAGTGGTACAAATGGCTAAATGCTTGACAACTAACCTAAAGGTTGGTAGTTCAAACCCACCCAGAGGTACCTCAGAACAAAGGCCTGGTCATCTCCTTCCAAAAGGTCCCAGCCTTGAAAACCCATTGGAACACACTTTGCTCTGCAATACACAGGGCTGCCGTGACTTAGAAGGGATTTGACAGGAACTGCAACTTCTCGGGCACTTTCAGAGAGGACCTGGGGAGTCCCAACTCACTTCAATCTGCTCCAGACTACCTGCCTTGCACACCTGTCCCCTACCCCGATGAAGAAGCAGGTCTGGACACCTGCCGACCCCCAGAACTGAGAGCAATGTGGACTTATGGGCAGTCAGGATAGTAATTATTAACCCAATGCCTTTGAGTCAATTCTGCATTTTGGCGTCCTCATGTGTGTCAGAGTAGAACTGGCCTAAATACGGCTTTCTCTCATACTTGGGACATGTCATCAGGAAGGAACAGTCCCCTGGAGAAGGGCATCATACCTGGAAAAGTAGAGGGTCAGCAAAAAAGAGGAAGGCCCTCAATAAGATGGAGTGACAAGTGACAGCAGTGATGGGCTCAAACAAAACAATGGTGAGGATGGAGCCCAACTGCTCAGTGTTTCATTTTGTTGTGCAAAGATAGAGTTGCTATGAATCAGAACTGACTCAACAGCATCTGGTGGTGGTTATGTGCTGTGGAGTCCGTTCCAACTCACAGCAACCCTGTACAGGGTTTCTGAGGCTGTAAATCTTCACGGGAGCAGAAAAACGAGAAATCATTATGCAAGCAGATGGCCACATATTTCTTCTGTAGAGTGCCTGGGTGGATTTGAACCACAAAACTTTATTTTAAGTTGTTGTTAAGTGCCGTCAAGTCGGTTCTGACTCATAGCAACTCTGTAGGGTCTCCAAGGAGCGGCTGGTGAGCTTGAACCACCGACCTTGTAATTCAAACCGACCTTGCTGTCCAGCGCATTAACCCACAGGACCACACCAGAACTCCTTAGTTTAGGTCAGTGGCTGAGAATAAACTTTGTATTTCCCCAGATCGCTCCATAATGATCACCAATCACAAGAGGAGCCTGTGGCCCACGGTGAAGGAGACTCGGGGTGAGGGAGTGGTGAGGGGTATTATGGACCACCTAAGGGCTGTGCGGTTTGCAGGTCTTAACTCCCCTCTCCAGGCCTCAGTTTCCTTGTCTGTAGATGAAAGAGTTGGACCAGAAACGACTTCAACAAGCCCTTAGAACCATGACATTCCAGATAGCTGGGACTCAGTCAACATCATCTTTTCAGTCTTTTTAACCAACAGTTCTCAACTGGGAGCGATTCTGACCCCCAGGGAACATTGGGTGATGGCTAGGGTGGGAGTGGGGGCGGTGGTCATTACAACTGGGGGAGGTGCTACTGGCAGGAAGTAGATGGAGGCCTGGGATACATACTGCTCAACACCCTACATGTCGACAGTACTGATGGGAAGAAATCTCCATCACTTCTTTGAAAACATATTTGAGTTCAATCCCTGCTAACACCATCCACTAAAATAAACTCCCACTGGGTCAGATGGTGTCAACCAGGGAAGCTCTCCCACCTCCCCTCCCAGTTACTGGGATTTCTCTCCCCTCCCAACTCTGTGTGTGGATTTCAGTGTGGGCAGCATCCTGTCCTAGGACCAGTCAGGAGGTCAGGTATTGGATATTGGGTCTCTTGCAGGTTAGTGCAATCCCCAAACCTAGGGGTTCTCACTCGGGGGATTCTGCTCCTAGGGGACACTGGGTGATGTCTGGAGACATTTAGAGTTGTCAAGACTGGGGAAGTAGGTGCTATTGGCATCAAGTGGGTGGAGGTCAGGGAAGCTGCTCAACACCCTACAGTGCATAGGATGGCCTTTCCCAGAGAAGGATCTGTCCCCCACTGCCTGGGTCAGCAGATGGGGTGCATGGAGGAGGGCCATAATTTTCAATGAAGAAGTGCTGTAGGCATTGGCACATTGTGGGGAAACACAAGCTCATCATCCCCCTCCTGACCTTCTCATTCATTGGTGGTGGTGGTTATGTGCCGTGGAGTCGGTTCTGACTCATAGCAACCCTGTACAGGGTTTCCAAGGCTGTAAATCTTTACGGGAGCAGAAAGCCTCATCTTTCTTCTGCGGAACGGCTGGTGGTTTCGAACTGCTGACCCTGAGGTTAGCAGAGCGATTCCTAACCACTACGCTACCAGAGCTCCTTCTCATTACATCATCTCATTCTATGGTTCCCGGGTGGGTGCCCCCCTTCCTGGCTTCTCAGGTCCCCTGACTCTCAGCCCGGCTTTGACACCAGCATGTTGGCTCTGTGCAGCTGCTGCCTGGCTAATGGTTTGGGCGTGTCATCAAAGACCTGCTTACAACTGCACCGGCGGCGTGAATGGCAGATTTGTAAGGGACTGCTGGGGCCCGGGGCTGAGAAAAGTAGGTAGAGGGAGAGGGAAGGAGGGAGTGGCTCAGACTCGCCCATTCCCCTTCAGATAAAGACTCTTCACTCCATTCTAGTATATGCCCAGGGCAGTGACATTCATTCATGGAGGGGGTGAGATAAGACGCAGTCCACCCCCAAACCAGTCTGCTGTGGGCAGTCTAACCACAGCAGAGCAGCTACCCAAGAGCTTCCGGCACCTGCATTCTCCTCCCAAGGGGCATTCTCAC